ACCCCAGGTTATTTTCCTTTCGTTTTATAAAGTTTTTGTTGAATGTTAAGATGTAGTTTATATTCCTTATGGGTGGGCATTGCCTCACTCTTCAAGTTAATCCTCCATTCTTCCATGTTATTTTCGGTTATCATTATGCCTAGGATGATCATATGGGACCATGGGAAATCTGCGATGCTGGTCCCTCCCCCCTACCAAGTAGGCAGATGTATGTTCACCTTAGTTACATACAGCCCGGTCTTCACAGCATGTTACTATCAATAGTGCTTCAGTTTTTCCCCAATTTACAAACTGGAGAAACATATGCCTGTCCGCCTCATTGGGATTTTGGCACTGTAAAATGACTTGCCCAAATCTCAGGAATTCCTGGCTCCTTTTCTTTTGCTCTAGTCTTTCATACCCTGCTTCTTTCATATAATAAGCAATTCTGTAGTGCCAGTTAAGTCACCTCTGCTCCTAAGTTGTTTTAGCCTGCATAATGATACAGTTCCTGTCTGTCTCTCCCAGCTGCTGCAAGCAATATTTATTCCTTCTCCAAAACATAAAATCTCCAGCAATCGAAGTGGAGGTTTTTACTGGCTAGCGATAAATGCCGCCACTAAATTCTAATCCAGAAAAGGGAGTTTGTAGCTGAAAGATCTAAGGGAAATCAACATTGTAAAACATAATGTTGGGATTTTATTACAGCAGAAGTTTGTGAGTCCTTCCTCACTGCTATGGCCTTTGGAAATCTCATTCTGGGCTTCAGTTTCCTGTGTTAAGAGAATTGAACCAAGCATTGAGCAGTGTTTTAAAGAGCTTCTTATATCAAAGGGAACAGGATCTTTTTTAAAACCAGTGTTCAAAAATTTGTCCCTGTTAACATTCTTTATGTGGTCATTTTATTGCTGCAGCTAGAAAACATGCTTGGAGGAGAAGAGAAGTTTCAGGAAAGAGTGACAGCCCACCTGATACCTTGTATAGCTCAGTTTTCAGTTGCAATGGCAGATGATTCTCTCTGGAAACCATTGAACTACCAGATTCTGTTGAAGATGAGACACACGTCACCTAAGGTATGAAGCTGAATTATCTTTTGTATTGCATGAGAATATTTGTGATACAAAACAGATATGGGTTGACTGGATCACTTCAGGGTGAGATTTGCTATGCTCACTAGAAAGAAACTTAATACTGAATTCTGTTACAAATATGAGTGAGTTAGATGCATAAAAAGATTGTCTTTTGTTTATGCAAACAAGCAAATACTTTTGTCAATGGATAATTTCCAGGCTGAATCTCTCAGATCTGACAGCTGCCTGCAATAGAAGTGGCTACACAGTAATGTTCACTTATGGTGTGTATTCCTGGGGAAGTGGAATAGCTTTAGACTAAACAGCAGGGGATAAATATGAGCAGCTATTTCATTAGCCTCCAGCACATTCTCATGAAAGCTTTCACTGTGCTTCTCTTTCCTGCTGCTGTTTACAGTTTGTCAGAAGCTGGTTTTAATGTCTTCATAAAAAGGACTGGTAGGTTTATTTCTTGTGTTAGCCTTGCTGATGCAGCTGAACAGAATGATTCAGGGTTGCATTGCTATTGGGACTGAGGAGGAGAGGCTTGCAAAGAATTTGAGGGCAAGTAGAGGGATTAGTAAACATTAGAGAGTACAGCAGCTCGTGAAACTAAGATTACTGTTAAATGCCCAAATAGCAGCTGTGGTTTGAGTGTGTTTTGTTCCTTTTGCACTTGATACCAGGAGAGACCACATACTTCAGCTATTGACAGTGTTGTCCTTACTCATCTTTTTGATTTGTAGAGACTAGACTACAGAAATGCACTCTTTTGAGGGCTAATATCTTGAGACCAAGACTGCAGCATGCAGCAACCATTTTTGGTGGGCTGTCACATCAGTAGCACAAAGACCAATGTTCCCTAAGCTTTGCCAACTGATTGGCTGCTCCTCTGGTGTCATTTAGCCGGGTGATTTTGATATTTGAAGTTATAAGGAACAAAGTCCCAAGCCACTTGCAAGTACTGTGACAGCTGACAGGATGCTCCCCATGGCACTGGCCCTCTGGACATGCTGCCTGGCACATGGCGGGTAGAGATCTGCTGTAGACTCCAGAAAGCAATCCTCTGGATCAGCCACTTGTGAGAAGGTGGTCTCCTTTTCCTAGCAAGCCCGTAGATTTTTTACAAGAGACCACAATCTCTAGGCAGGAGTTAAGCCTATTACACGACTGATAAAGAAGGGAAACTGAACTACCTTAACCTCCCCTCCATCAGCTGAGAGCAGTTTAGCAAATACACTTCTCAGAATTCCCTTTAATGGAGGGGATATGGGGTGAGCTGGCATGGAAGAAAGAACCAGATGGGTCCTTGCTTAACGAAGGGTGAAAGATGTTTCTGAAAGTTATGCTGCAATGTAATGTTTCTTATTTTAGGTTCGCTTTGCTGCTCTACTTGCTTTGTTAGAACTTGCAGGAAAACTGAAGGAGAACTTCATGGTGCTGTTACCAGAATCCATTCCATTCTTGGCTGAGCTAATGGAAGGTAAAATACTTCTGTTAAGTAGTCTAGTGTAAAGGTGGGGTGGATCTTCAACAGAAAGCACTGTTTGCTGCATAAGTGAGATTCAGTCAGAAGTATGTTAGGAGTAATCAGTAACTCAGTATGTAAATCAATACACAGAGACTTGAGCAATTTGAACTTCAACCTAGCACACCACAGACTGTCATAACTTTAAACCTTATCAGCTGATCCAGGCTCCCAGCTGCAAGGGTGCCTCATGTTGGGATCAGATCGCTGGGGGTTCCCAGCCATGGGATATGGGGTGCACCCCTGTAGCTCGGAGTCGAGGTTGGCTGATGGAGCCCCCAGTTACAGGGGGCACACACCATGGTTGGGAGCAGCAGGAGTGCCTGGTGCATGTCCCATCTGTGGGGGCTTGCTCCTTGCCCACACATGGGAGAGCATGAAATCATGATTGTGGGCTCCCCCTGCATTCGCAATAAGGCATAATGGGATCTGATGCTAGATCCTACAGTCATGCCTTCTGCCATGCATGTGGCATGGTAGGAAGCATGATTGTGAGGATCCAGCATCAGATCCCATTGTACCTTCACTTGTGCATCTGCCAGGGGCCCCAGGGGCATAAGCTAGTTAGGTGGAATTCACCTCAATGTAGATGCACACGTTATAGGAGGTCCACACATCAGCGTTGTAAGCATTCCTGTTGTAGTCCTTATACAACAGGTCCTTGAAGTGTGCTTACATTTACTTCAACACTATTAATGCTCCAATATTCAGAAGATATTTAGCCGTGTAATTTCAAAATATGCTCTAGTTTTAGGAGAAGCACCTACTTCTCCTGTCCTGAAGAGCATACAGTCTGAAAAGGGACTTAATCTTCCTTGCCATTTCAAAACAGATGTGTGAACTGACAGGTCTGTTTTCATTGTATCCCATTCAACTTTTTTCAGATGAATGTGAAGAAGTAGAACACCAGTGCCAGAAGACAGTTCACCAACTAGAAGCCATTTTGGGAGAACCACTCCAGAGCTACTTCTAAGAAACAGCTGTCTTTGTTTTGTAGTTGCATAATCTAAAGTGACAGTCATAACTGACTTGTTCATCTATACAAGTATACTACCAGAGTAAGTTTCTAATAATGTCTTGCATTGGAGAGTGTATTACAGCTAAGATTCTGTACATTGTTCAGGGTTGTTACATTTCCACAGCTATTAAAAGAATGCTGTCATACTAAAAACTTGTCGTTTTTGAATACTTCTCAGATTGTTTGAATTGTAGTGTATTATAGATCCTGCAGACTTAGTAGATGGATTTTCCTCAATTGTTTTTTTCTCCTAATAAACAAAAAAGCTTAAATTTGGTTTCTTTTGAGTTGGCTGCTGTTTTCTTACTAGCCATGGGAGTAGTAAACAAGCTCCTGTCTGGCTAAGTTGTGAATTGTTTTGTTCCCAGTGACAACTCAGTTTCTAAATTGCTAGTCTGATTCTCTATAGGATTTGGGTTTTATGGCCAACAGTTCTTAAGCTAAAGGAAAACAAAAGAACGTTTAATTTAGCTTTACTTACTATGATATAAGCTTGCTCCTCAGTGGGTGTGTCTACACAAGACACTTGACTATGCAGTAGGTAAGTCTACTGTGCAGTAAAGCATCACCATCTACATGTGCTCATGTTTACTGTGCAGTTAGCTACTACCTATAAATATAGTAAACTATCTATGTAGTAGATACTGTGCTGTAAAATGCATATAGACACTAGCTGGGAGCAAATTTGTTCCCAGTCAGCCTAGCCAGCAGGGGGCCATAGGGAACAGGAAGCTGTCTGTCCCTGGTCCTGGCACTACTCAGATCCCCCTAGGAGCTGATTAGGGCCATGATTTGAGAGCTCTCTGCCCCATGTCCATGCTCATCCATGCTGGATGGAGCTGGCTGCTCTGGAGAGCAAGTAGGGGCTGGGAATCCAGCCCTTGCCTGTCTCCATAAGCAGTCAGCCTAATGGGACTACTTCCGTAGGGCATGGGAGGCAGGAGGGGGAGGAGCCTGGAGCTCCCCCTGGTTGCTGTAGGGGGGCAGCCCTTTACAGCCTGCTCCTATTGGGAGCAACCCTGCTCCCAAGAAGGGAACATGTATTTAGACATGCTCCCCTGTAGGCTTACGGTGCAGTATTTTTACTGCGCAGTAAACCTACTTCGAATTAATAGCACAAGTAGATGTTCCCAGTAATAGCATACATACTGCCAGTTACGTTTTTACAACTCCCTGGACCCAAAATGCACGTCTTGGAAACCTTAAACGTTTAGTCTGTGCTCTGATTTAATTACTTAATTTTTGAATTGCGTGGAAAGAATAGATGTGCTCAATTCAAATCTTTAGAAACTGTTGAAAAGGATTTCAGAAAATAGCAGTACTGATTTAAGGCCATTGACCAGACTCAAGATGCATATTCTGTATGTACACACAGCGTTTTTAAATCAGGGGGAGGGGCAAGCAGCATTGTTCACAAAATTTTATTTTAAGTTCTGCTTTTTTACATTCCTTTTACAAGTTTAGAGAAACTACATCTTTTAGATTTTTAAAAGCATTCTTTTAAACATTTAAAAGAAAACAAAAATGTCTTTCAAATCTACTATACATTTTATTCTCATTGGAAACTGCCTGACCAAAAACCTAAGAATTTAAATTAAGATATATGGGTGTTAGATAGAAATGCTTCCCTTTTTTAGCTTTAAGGCTAATACATTTCTAGGGAAACAAAACTGCCAATCAACAGCAACTTTCATTGTAAGAAGTTGTAAATACAGTAGACTCTCTCAGGGACAGTGGTTCCCAACTCCCCCCCCCCCGTGGCCCAGCAGAAGCAGAATGAGGGCGCACAGAGCCAGCTGCCTCCCTCCTGGGGCTCCCCTGCCACCCGGCTTTAACCCCAGAAGCTCAGCTGTGACACCCTAGAAGCTGCTTGCCCAGGC